CTTGCGGCGCTGGGAGAAATCCTGGGTTCTTGCGAGCTCCCAGTCAGCCAGAAACAAACAGCTCTGGGCTTCTGGCATGGCCAAACCCACCCTGCCTCTGAGCCATCAAGCCTGCAGTCCACCAACAACTTATATCACTCACCGTCCGCTTGCAAGATGTTTCCAGCGAGAAAAAGTAATGAATGCTGAATCCGTTTGTGGCCATCCTTCTGCTGATTGCGCAGGTTTGGGCGCTGTTGCAACCGTGACCACTGCCAAACCCTCATGCCAACAGCCGCAGGGATAGCCTCAGCACAGCGAAGCCCAATCAACGCAAATTTAATGTCTGGCACTGTCTCATGGAAACGCGTGAAGTCCACCCGGTGCGTGCCATCCCGAATAGCCACGCAGGGCGCAAAGGCACAGTCATACTGTATGTCGCTGAGAGTGTATGACTGACGTGCTTCAAGGCTGCTTCCTGTAATTGGGCAGGTCCCGCTGACAATGGCAATCACTTCTACAAAATCCAGGGACTGCAAGCAGTCAAGGAAATTCTCCAAGCTGCCAACATCTGTGGCCTGGCTCAGGGGACTTTCTGTATTTACACGGTGGATGACTTTCGCAGGCAAGGACAGAAAAAGCTTGCCGTCGGCAATGTCTCCGCATGGCTGTTCCAGCCGCATCTGGACAACATCCACCTCGGTATTGTCAAGCGCGTCTGTCGCATGCTTGAGAGCATACATCCGTACCAAGGGTTCAATGAGCGGGCGCTTCGCAACCTCGCAGATCCGGAAGCAGATCTTTACAAAGCCGTCCTGCACAGTTGGGCCACCCTTTTGCTGAAATATGTTTAAACCAACATTGTATAAACAACCCCTTTTGCCTACCATTTGCAAGAGGCGGGGGTCTGGTTGTTGTTTTCTTGGCCCAACCCGGCACACCTCCGAGTAGGCGATGATTTTGTCACTGAAGATTATGCTCGACGCCCGTGTGAAGGCGGTGGAGAAGCGCGTGTATATCAAATTCAAGAAAATGGCATCCATCAAAAGCCCGACCAGCGACTGCACAATTAGTAGGGGTATAACTTCGGGGCAGTCATCAAAGAACCTTGGCTTCACAAAGAGAATGCAAGAGGAACGGGATGAGCACTCGCAAAGCAAAATCAGCCATGGCACGGATCTGCCACACCGTATCCGATCGTAGTCATAGTTTCCAGGGAGAGCATGAAAGAGCGGCGGAAGGTCAGCTTCTTTGGCTCACAACCATCAGCCGCCAGCTGCCACCAGAAGGCAAACACAACCCAACCAAAAAGGTAAAACAGCGTGTAGATGGGCAGCAGCCATCGAAGAGGCATGTTTGCCATATAATGAAAGACGTCACTTCGAACAAACTGCTCGCAGCCACTGAGACCACAGTGCTTTATCCTGAAAGCGGCTCTTGTGCGAGACCGTGGCATGCCTCGCTGGAGCAAGCCTTGGCTGATCTGGATTACACAACTCAGCGAGCCACACGAATACATGAGAGCATTGGCCCAGACCAACAGGAAACTACCCAAAACCGATAACCTGCAAAACCAAAAGAAACCCGCTCTAACCCACTACCCTTGCAATGTTGTCCTTTGCTCATGTGGAAACAGCAGGTCTGCTTGGGAGCGTGGCGACCGCTCTACGAGGCAGTCGCACAGGCCCGGCTCCGAATCGCTCTCTGAGCCCAAGCGCATGGCACCTCCAACAGCCTGCATGTGGCCCAGGCATCAGCCGCCCTGCTTCCTACGAGCCCTGCGAGCTTGAGCCGCAAGGACCTCACCAGTATTCTCACACGGACCTCACCTTCTTCTGGACCTTCTGGGACAGACCCTGCAGACCTTGACAAAATGGGTTCTTCAAATTGATGGAAGGTTCGAGTAGCACAGGATGGCACGGATGGATGGTGCAGCACTTGCAGCATTGCACAGGTGGCGCGCATTTGTTCCAAAGCACACTTCACCAAATCGCAGGGCCAATAGCGGGTTTGCTGTCAGACCTGACCAAAAAGGCCAAGAAACCTTTGGATTGCGCAAAGGCTGGGGAAGTTGTGGGCAAGGCATTCGCACATTTCTTGGAAAGTAATCTCAGTATTTTGACTTGACATGAATGGCCCTCCGTGAGCTCGCACGCTGACCTGCAACTGCACCCAGCACTGGAGTCCCAACCTTCTGCTTCTTGGACTGTGGCTCTGTGCCTCCCGAAGAGGCCAGTCATGCTTCCCGCTCACCAATCACACATCACACTTCACCTCGCACCATGGAAAATCCTGGGAGCCCCACCAGTGCTGGATTCCAGCTGCCGCTTCTCGCCTTCATTCATAGATGAGCCGTGAACCAGTGACATTGGATTTCGGGCAGTGTAGCTTCATTTGTTTCATGAGCGTGCCCACAGAGGTACCCCCCGGCCCCCTCCATACTAAAGCGTTCGCCCTTGAAGCTTCCGCCCGTGCAAATGCTGCAAGCCCCGTGCGCCTCCGGCAGCCGTCTCCTCAGCCGCCTCGGTTGCCTCGCTCGCCTCGGTCGCCTCGGCCGCTGCCTCAGTAAGCAAGGAACTGTCCCAGGGTCGAATACAAACAAGCCGCTTCAGACTTTTGCAAAGGCATTGGCAGGCCCGCAGGTCATGAGGCATACTGCAGCAGGCTCACATGCTCGAATTCCAAATTAGGACGGCGAAGCCTTTGCCGGGGAAGTCTTGGACTGGCACCGTAATGCCCAGGACTCCCTGCAGTCCTCCGCCAGCTTGTCACATGCCTCCGGGGCTTTCAGCAAATCAGCCACCAGCTCCTCCCGCTCTCCATCAAACCCGGGCAATTTCAGCTTGCGCGTAGCATCCAGCACGCTCCCCTCCCAAGAGATGCCCTCCCCGAAGACCAGGTCGAAGTCTGCACCGCCCAAATGCGCAGAGACTTTATTCTTCAGCACCTCCACGTGGCACCGCGCTCCGTGCGGATGCTCCTCAGCTCCCAGCAGCGCAAGCTGCTGGATGCAGAGACGAATGCTGGAGCGGTACGCCAAGGCATTGCCTCCGCAAGTGAGCCCAGACACTGTATCGAAGGAAGATTGCGATCTGAAATGATTGATGAAGAGGATGGTGGCACCACTCTGAGGCAAAAACCGTTCCATCTTGCGGCAGAAAATGCTTGTCAGCCTCGAAACGTCACTGTATTGCAGCTTCATATCGCCCGCCAGCTCTTTCTCCGGCACCAAGTTGGCAATGCTATCGATCACAATGAGGCTGGAGGAGGATTTTGCAATATCCTCGGCCATGCGAACCGCCTCCTCTGCAGATTTCGGCTCCAGCACCACCATCTGCGCCGGTGCAAGCTCATGATCCAGGGTGCGGTCCAAGTCCATGAAGAAGCACTGCCGGCCCTGGCGACAAGCGCCCTCAGCCCAGGCCAGCGCCAAAGATGTCTTGCCGGCCTGAGGAGGGCCAAAGGCCTCCACCATGTGCCCGCGGGGTAAACCGTCTAGAAGCAAGTCCAACATCAGCACTCCGGTGCCATCTGCTTGCGGCTTCTCATCCCGCGACCGCGATTCCCCGCGCTGGGTTCGCCCAGTTCGGCACCGCGGGTTGCACCCTACAGCCAAGGCCACTGTAGGCAAAAGCGGGGCCATCCGCGAGCGCCATGGCGGCTCTTGCGGTTGTGCAGCTCTTTGCGCAATCTGCCCTGGCCACAGCTTTCCCCCGACTGGCGCTCGACATGGCGGCCTCTCCATGGAAGCACGGGCTGCATCAAGCCAAGCAAAGCTAGAGGCGCAAAAAGCAATCGCGAAGACCTGAACACTGTAGATGTGCCCCGCAAAAAAAAGCTAATACACGTTCGTGCACAGCAATACAATGGTGATATTAGCATGAATTGCCCCAATTACTTCTCAGTGAGAACTTCCCAGCAACAACAACGCTGTGCTTCTTGAAAGGGTTTGGGCAAAACACTGACATCCTTCCGCTTCGCTTTGTGCGGCTATTGCATTCAAGTCACGGTCTCTGGCGCTGTCTGCAAGCCTCACAGCTCACACAAAAAAGTCCCTACAAGGGGTTGACATGTTGCCAACCAACTTCAAAAACTTTGGCCTCAAAATCGCCGAGGCGCTTGGCAATGGCAGGTGGCGTTTCACCAACTCACCTTGTCATTGGCAAAGGCACTGTTCTGCTGCCTGCTTTCTGCACATCGTCCAAGCTGCACACACGCTCCAGCTGCTCCTCGCTGAAGCGCTGGTCACAGTCTTCCCAAAGACCATATAAGTACATCATGTCGGTCGGCGCCATGTTGATTAACCTGAGCAAAAGCTGAAACATGGTGGCCTTGCCGGGAGGCGACACAAACAAGCTGGATAGAATCTAGTGCTCCTGGATTGCATGGGGACATGCCTCCGCTGGCAGGATCCGTCTCACAATGTTTAGAACCTACTAGTTGTCCCACGAAAGCCCTGTCCTGGAAGCGAACTGGCCTTCAAATGGCACCTGTTACCCCGCCCCCCCCCTCCCCCCCGCTCAAACCTGTCATGCTACTTGCAACCGAGCCACTGCAACACCTCGTCGTTGGACAGGTCCAAGTCCTTGGCCACGTGCGGCTGGCTGGCAGGACAATAAGTTTGAGGCAATGGACCTCATCCCCCTTGCCACAGACATTCACTGGCTGGACCTTGCACAAATGATGAAGAGTGATAATGATATGAGCCTGATGTTCCTCCCCGCGCGCTGCGCCGGATTGTCGGCAAGCATCCGCTATTCCTGCTAGCAATCGCTCCACTGTTGCGGCGTCCGCGCGCACACCAGGGTAGCAGCGCTCCAAATAGTCAACGACTGCTTCATCCTTGGGTTCGCAAGGTGACCAGGTCGCTTAGCACAAAACTGAAACCAAAGGTTCATTCAGGCCATGCACCCTCCTAAGCTCATAAAATATCCCAATCCCAAAAAAAAACAGTGACAGCATCCAACCCGCTAGCCCCACGTGAATAAACGAAAGAAGTGGTTGCAAGCATGCGCATGTGTGTGTGTGTGTATGTGTATGTGTATGTGTATGTATGTGTATATGCTTATGTGTGTGTGTGTGCTTATGTGTGTGTGTGTGTATATGCTTATGTGTGTGTGTATATGTGTGTATGTGTGTATGTGTGTATGTGTGTATGTGTGTATGTGTGTATGTGTGTATGTGTGTATGTGTGTATGTTGTCATCTGTGTGTATGTGTGTATGTGTGTATGTGTGTATGTGTGTATGTGTGTATGTGTGTATGTGTGTATGTGTGTATGTGTGTATGTGTGTATGTGTGTATGTATGTATGT